GTAAGTATTTCTCAATGGTGACTTATGGCTCGGGTGCCCACAGAGAGGGCTCTGTGTGCCAGCTGTGGCACGCGTGTCATAGGCTCGCCATCGCTGCCATACAGCATAAAGTGAAACTTAAAACAGCACTCATACCCAGGTTGCAGACCTCTATTCGTTTAAATTATTTCCATACTGGATCTGGTTTATCCTGCATAATTTTATACAACAGGTTTTTGCACAGAATAATTGCTAGAATAATATTGTATTATCAGTAATGTTATAAAGTATTATATAGCCAAAACAGGCACCCAATGGTTACAGAAACATAAAACATTATTAGAAAAAACTGTCAGCGAAAAGCCCTTCCAAAATATTAATTAGATATCGATAATAATGCTCACTGAAAGCGCGGATTGGACTAATATCCTAAACAGGACCTCTCTGAACTCCAATAGTTTCTTAGATGCTCCATTTACATTAATCTGTATATTGACTATTTCATCACATGACAGCACATTTCTAGTCCCAGTATTAAAGTATTCCATACCTGCAAGCAGTCTCTGTGAAACCAAGCATTTTTACAGCATGGACTGGTCAAAATGTTGTACGATGGTGCATGTTCAACCAGCTCCAAACATATTGTACATTGTGACAACCCGTTACTATTAGAAGGACGTTTCTGAGTGGGACGATGCTTCCAACAATATGATCTTAAATATACAGAATTAGAATGGAATATAATCACACTTCGTTCATGCTATTCATGTATAAACTCATTTAAGTACTTAAAGTTAAAAATTAATGCACTATATCATAAGATAATACAGTGGTGCCTTGCTTAACAGGCACTCCATTTAGCGACGAAACCGCATAGCGACGAAGATTTTGTGATCGCAAAAGCGATCGCATTGTGATGTTTTAAATGTTTTTTTTCGCTTTGCGATGATCGGTTCCCTGTTTCGCTTACCGATCATCATAAAGCGATGATTTTTTAACAGCTGATCGACGGTTCCAAAATGGCCGCCAGGTTAAAAAAAAAGGCCGCCCGCTGTGTTTAGGGACGGATTCCTCCCTTAAGAGGCAGCAAAAATGGTTGCCATATGGAGGATCTTTGCTTTAAGGTGAGTTTTAAGCCCATAAAACGCAGGTTTTAATGTATTTCTATGGGCTTTTAAAAATCGCATAGCAACGAAATCGCTTAGCAGCGATTTTTGCTCCACAGATTAACGTCGCTATGCGAGGCACCACTGTATTGAAAAACTACAGCCTTTTAAAATAATGAATAAACTTTTGGAAAATTAAGGCAAACAAATTTATGGTGGTACAAGCCTTCAAGTGCCAGATTCCATTTCATCAGATGCATGAAGTAAAATTTTTTTGCTAGATATATGAAATATTGGTATAGAAAGAAGGTTTTAACTAAAGCATGAACACATCTTTCACGAAGTACAAACACAAAGAAAAATTTATTTGCTGACCAGATTTACTATACAGTGAGTAAATACAGTGATACCTTGCTAAACGACGAATCTGCAAAAGGATGACTTTTTGCGATCGCTATAGCAATTCACAAAACAATCATTCCTATGGGGGATTTTCACTGGACGTCGATTAAGTCCATGCTTCGCGAACTGTTTGTTCAAAAGACGACAAGTTTTTGGCTCCGCAAAATGGCTGCCCTGTGTTTTCCGGACCCGTGCTTCGCAGGGCAGCCATTTTTACAGCTGATCAGCGCTCGCAAAATGGCTCCCCTATGGGGGATCTCTACTGGATGACGAGGTATTTTCCCCAGTTGCAACACATTAAACTGGGTTTCAATGCATTCCAATGGGGAAAGGGTTTCCGCATGATGACGATTTCGCTAAACAGCGATTTTCATGGGAGGGATTATCGTCGTCATGCGGGGCACCACTGCACATAGATAGGCCATTTATAGTTTTCTGAATTAAACCATCCCCAATTCAGTTTACCAAATGTATTAAGAACTTACGGGAAATTGCCCCTGTATTGGAAAATGCATCCGTTCTCTACCCCACAAGGAAAGTGGTAGCTTCGTTTGCACTTGGATACCACACAACCAATTGAGGCACCTTTTTTCTTACAGATAGTACATTTCTAAAAAGAAAGGATGAAATATATTAAACCAAAACACCCCATATACTTACTAATCCATTTCTCTGTAGCTATTTTTTTAAAAAAATAATGGTTACTTTAAGATTTCATATTGAACAAGGTTTAAATGCAAAGAGTTATATCTCACGTAAAGTTGTTGTAAAGGAAAAGCGGACTTTGATGTGTTGGAAAACTGACCAAAAAAAATACATTAATTAAAAAATCAAATATTTTATTTTGTCAGAAAAATAATAAAATTAGCAATCATCTAAAGGAGGGGTGGGCAACAAGCAGCCTCCCCAGGGACATATTTGCATTCTACATGTCACCTCACATCCATCCCAAATTTTAAAGTTGTTTTGGAAAAAAGTGTTTTTCTGAGAACTTCTGTGTCTGTGGAGGACTGAGGAATCACTGTGTTATGAGGGGCCCCAAAACTATGGCCTCCCAGATCACCTAATTTTCTTTCTTCTGCCGGAACAAGGGATCTTTTTTTTTTTTTTTTTAGCTTAAACAACTTTTTTGAAGGTAACCTCAAATTTCAATTAATAAAAATCCATCTCCCTTTAGAGTGTGAGCTGCTGGCAAATCAGAAAAATGTCCTTTGGTCCCACAATCACCCATCTAATTTCCATTAAAATTTCCTGTTTGCTGTAGCGACTATCTTTTATCATCTGACTATGAAATCAAACAATCCCTTAGTTTACCTATTATACTGTCATTCTATATTTAAGACTGAGAACTCTACTGTGATCATATGTTACCTTCTAGCTTATTTATATAACTCAATCCCAATCGCAATTATTTAATCTTGAAATAAAACTCAATTTTGCTATGCATCTTAAATGCTTTCGTCATTTGTAAAAGTGTATTTAAGTCTAGAGCACTAATTTAATTTATCACTCAGTAATTATTTCTATACTGTACAGCTAGCCATACAAGTCAGTTGGGAAGTATAGTGTGGCAAAAAAATTGAGCAAAATTATAACTGGAATCTTTAGCTTACTACAACTGTTTAGTTTTTTTTAATACACTGGAGTTTCACCTGTTAATATCATCAAAAATATTAAACAGAAGACACTGCTGAACTATAAATTCCTCAACCCAAAGCAAGGTTATTATAACCTGCTTATAATGCTCAATACTCCATTTATATGCATGGCATTTTTTGTTGTATCATATGCTGTCAAGTCAGAACTGACTTAAAGCAGCAATAATATGACTTTCAAGGTAAGTGGGATATATTAAAGTGTGGCTTTACCACTGCTACTCAGGGTGGATTAAAATTGATAATTTATAAAAAAATAAAAATTTGGGGTGATTTTTAAAATTTAAAACCCATTTTTTTATTTTAACCAAATTTTAATGAAATGCTTTTGGAGAAAAAATATAACTAAAGAGTTTTCTAATTAGGATACATTATAATTCAAAGTTTATTCAGCATGAAATAGAACTCAGTTATGCAGCATGAGGCTGTATATTCATGCAATATTTACATTTTTAGTAAAGTAATTCAGTTAATCTAAATTATCCAAGCTGAGATAACATGCACTTTTTCACAGTAAAAATGGTATAAAATAAACAAGATTCAGGAGAAGACCTTAATTCCACTACTGTTCTGCAAATCTATGTACAAACAATGAACACATTACTTTAAATGCTAGGTTTGAAGTTCATTTAGAATTAAATACATCTGTACCATGCTAAGTGTGAGGAGGGAGGGGCAAGCAGTAAGAATGAAGGTGAAACCTGAGCAGCTTACAAACCTTGGGATCTTTGTGCACATAGTTTAAATGTTTGTTTTTTAAAACATATTTTGTTGAACCACTTCAGTTAATAAACATTGATGTTAAAGCAAATACAATAATGTGTAAGCTATATAATGTTATTGTTTTAGTTAAATAAAACAATTTAAGTTGTTCTCCAAATATGAGTGATTAACCTATTAAATTAACATCAGTTCTGATACAGCTGTTTTACTAATATGACAGGTCATTATTCTAAATATGAAATCTTCATCTGGTTGCAAATATTAAAGAGTGTAACTACCAGCAAGAATGAGTCTTTACTTTTAAAAATCGTGATATAAATCAAGTCTTACTGACTAATGATTTAAATCCTTATTTAACTCATGGTTTAAATTGATTTAAATCAAATCCACTCTGGTTCTACTCTCTCGGTGAACGTCCGTGACTCAGTGGAGATTTGAATCCAGGTCTCCAGAGTCCCAGTCTATAACTCTATCCACTAAACAGCACTTGGTATTTAAAAGGTATTTAGCAGACTGATATTCAATTATAGCAGCTGGAATCCTACTTACGTACACTGGCATAACTCATATAGCTTAAATCATGGTAATATATACTGCTAGTTAAGAAGCCAGTGGCATTCCTTGCCCTGTGCCAAGTCACATGACTGTTGGGCAATAAGTAATATAAGTGCTATCTTCTTAATGATTAACTAGTTCACTGATGTAATTTATGCTATTTGACTTACTGCTGGCATATGTAAATCATTGGATTTTATTCAATATCTTTTAGCATACAATGCCCACCTCTAATGAATATGCTTGCACAATGGCAATGGCATAACTGAATTCCTACTTACAGTATATCACAAGAGTGAGTACACCCCCTCACATTCCATAAATATTTTAGTATATCTTTTCATGTGACAACACTGAAGAAATGACACTTGGTTACAATGTGAAGCAGTGAGTATACAGCTTGTAGAACATTGTAAATGTGTTGTCCCCTCAAAATAACGCAACACACAGCCATTAATGTCTAAACCACTGGCAACAAAAGTGAGTACACCTCTAAGCGACAATGTCCAAAAAGGACACAAAGTGTCAATGTTTTGTGTGGCCACCATTATTTTCCAGCACTGCCTTAACCCTCTTGGGCGTAAGAGTTCACCAGTTTCACAGGTTGCCACTGGAGTCCTCCTCCACTCCTCCATGACGACATCACAGAGCTAGACATCACAGAGACCTTGTGCACCTCCACCTTCCATTTCAGGTTGCCCCACAGATGCTCAATAGGGTTTAGGTCTGGAGACATGCTTGGCCAATCCATCCCCCTTACCCTCAGCTTCTTTAACAAGGCAGTGATTGTTTTGGAGGTGTGCCTGGGGTCGTTGTCATATTGGAATACTGCCCTGAGGCCCAGTCTCCGAAGAGAGGGGATCATGCTCTGCTTCAGTATGTCACAGTACGTTGCCATTCACTGTTCCCTCAATGAACTGTAGCTCCCCAGAGCCGGCAGCACTCCTGCAGCCCCAGACCATGACACTCCCACCACGCTTGACTGTAGGCACAAAACACTTGTCTTTGTACTCCTCACCTGGTTGTCGCCACACACGCCTGACACCATCTAAACCAAATAAGTTTATTTTGATCTCACCAGATAACAGGACGTGGTTCCAGAAATCCATGTCCTTAGTCTGCTTGTTTACAGCTAACTGTATGAGGGCTTTCTGCTGCATCACATTTAGAAGAGGCTTCCTTCTGGGACAGCCGTGGAGACCAATTTGATGCAGTGTGTGGCGTATGGTCTGAGCACTGAGAAGCTGATGCCCCAGCCCTTCAAGCTCTGCACCAATGCTGGCAGCACTCATGCGTCTATTTCTCAAAGTCAACCTCTGGATATGACGTTGAGCATGGGCACCATGGAGAGGCATGTCCTGAGTGGAAATTGTCCTCTTAAACCACTGTATAGTCTTGGCCACCATGCTGCAGCTCAGTTTCAGGGTTTTGGTAATTTTCTTATAAACTAGCCCTAGGCCATCTTTATGTAGAACAACTACTCATTTTTTCAGATCCTCAGATAGTTCATTACCATGAGGTGCCATGTGGAATTTCCAGTGAGAGTAGTTAACACCTGCTCCCCCTTCACACCTGAGACTTGTGACACTAATGGGTCGCATGACACCAGGGAGGGAAAACGGCTACTTGGGGCCAATTTGGATATTGTCACTTATGGATGTACTCACTTTTGTTGCCAGCAGTTTAGATATTAATGGCTGTATTTTGAGGGGACAGCATATTTACACTGTTATACTCACTGCTTTACATTGTAGCCGAGTGTCATTTTTTTCACTGTTGTCACATGAAAAGATATACTAAAATATTTATTGAAATGTGAGGGGGTGTACTCACTTCTGTGATATATTGTATATGCCAGTTGTGTGACTCAATGCATGACGGAGAATTCCACCAGGAACTTGTTAATTAGTGGATATTGGGTAATCCAAGTTATACCACTGCACTAACACAGGCCTAATATTCAGATGGATTCTGGCACTTATTAATATACCATAGGCAACATTCCCTGACTAAACAAGTTTTAAAGCAGATACAACATTCAAGTGATATCCTTACCAGCCTTGCAGCACGATTAACTTCTTTTTGGATGTCTTCAGGTAAAAACCCATAAAAACCTTCTTCATCTTCACCCCTCTGCCAAATCCCACTGGACATTAACTATAATAAAGATAATGGCTTACTGACAACTGATAGAAACATATATTTGCATTGATTGCATAGCAGCTTCCATGTGCACTAATCTGTATTTTTGTGAACAGTTGGTTCACATCATTTACTCAGAACAGAGCTACAGTGGCGCCTTGTTTAGCGACGTTAATCCGTGCAGGAAAAAACGTCGCTAAACGATTTAATCGCTAAGAGATTTTTAAAAGCCCATAGGAACACATTAAAGCGCGTTTAATGCGTTCCTATGGGCTAACAAGTTACCTGTAAGTGAAAATCCTCCATAGCGGTGGCCATCTTGGGTGCCTCTAAAGCGAGGCAAAACAGCGGTCACCATTTTGTTTTTACGGTGGCCATTTTGGAACTGCCAATCAGCTGTTAAAAATGGGCGCTTTGCCATGATCGGGTCCCCGCGATCATCGCAAAGCGATTTTTACCCATAGGGGCCATCGCTAAGCGATCGCTCTGGCAATGGCAAAAAGTCAAGCGAGGCACCACTGTATATCTGGTCATTTGTTCTGCAGATCTTTGACACTGCATATCCTATGTCTAACTAGGTGTTTGCTGGGATGGGAGAACATTTGATTTTTAGTTATGATCAAGAGGATGCACTGCAAACTCCTTTATCATAGAATCATTTGTACAGGAAGTACTTTGTACAACAGCCTTTGGTTTATTTTGCTTCTCATTTATCTCTCTGTTATCCTTTTTTATGAAATTAATTTTTAAAGGAATTCCTTATACAGTAACAGTGCCATTTGTGGCCTGCTCCCTTGCACATCTTCTCAGAAGTAATACTTATTTGATTCTGCTAAGGTTAATTCATAATTAATTGAACAAAAGGTTGCACTTTTGCTATGTATAATAACTTAAGGATAGATCAATACTCAAATATATTGCCAATTTAATTATATAATCTTTCTTTTGAACCTTTATATCCAAAAAGTCTGTCTTCAATTTCAGCATCATATCTGTTGCCAGAAAGGACTTCCACTTTATCTCCATATACATTTTATTTCTCAAACTCTTTATTTTCTGTAATGGCTAGGTGGCAAGAGATGGCTATCCAGGATCAGATATCGTAAAAAAATTTCTGTGCCTATGACTATGGACCTCTCAGATGTAAACACGTCTGTGATATTTTAAGTTTTAACCTATAAAGCACCCATAGTGCTTGCACTAATGCGGTAGTATGTCAATCAATTAATCAATCAGTCAATCAAACAAACAAATGCAGGTCTGTTTTATTAGCAATATAGGATCATACGACTAAATTGTTGAATGCTGAAACGAAGACTAAAAAGAACAAACAGAAAAATAATAATTTACCTTAAGCTGTCATTCTAGCATAATGGTTTCCGGATTAAAGATACTAGAATTTAGCTTGAAGGAGGGTGAGCGTTTAGACTAATTGCATTAGGAATACAGTATCCTTAAATTTGTTCAGCACTTAAGAAAAAGAAGAATGGACTATCTTACTCTGATTTAGAATTTCCTAAAACTCATGGCTAGAATTTTGTGGGGGTTTATGTTTTAATCTGTAAATAGCCCCCAATAGCACTTGAACTAAAGGGGCAGTATATAGAATCATAGAATAATGAAGTTGGGAGGGGCCTATAAGGTCATCAAGTCCAACCCCCTACTCGATGCAGGAACACAAATCAAAGGGTATCTGCCAGGTGGTTGTCTAAATTTCTCTTGAAAGCCCCCAGTATTGAAGCACTCATGACCTCTCGGGTAATTTCCATTACTGTACTGCCCCAACAGTTAGGAAGTCTTTCCTGATACTCAGCTGAAATCTGGCTTCCTGTAACCTGAGCCCACTGTTGTGTGTCCTGCATTCTGGGATGATTTAGAACAGATCCTGACCCTCCTCTGAATGACTGCCTTTCAAGTATTTGAAAAGTGCTGTCATATCTCCCCTAAGTCTTCTTTTCTCAAGGCTGAATGTGCCCAGCTCTTTCAGTCTTTCCTCATAGGGCTTTGTTTTAGCCTTGCTGCCCTCATCTAAGCTTGTCCCAATTTGTTGACATCCTTCTTGAAGTGTGGTGTCCAGAACTGGAGACAGTACTCAATATCAGGTCTAACTACCGTGTTTTCCCCGAAAATAAAAGAGGGTCTTATATTAATTTTGCTCCAAAAGCGCATTAGGGCTTATTTTCATTGGATGTTTTATTTTACAGTCATGTCACCTTCTTCTGGTTGCTGCACAATAGTGGAGGGTGGGGTTTCATTTAACTGGGGCTTATTTTGTGGGTAGGGCTTATATTACGAGCATCCTTAAAAAATCATACTAGGCTTACTTGCAGTTTAGATCTTAATTTTTGGGGAAACAGGGTAATGCCGAATAGAGAAAACTAGTATTTCACAGGATTTGGAGACAGTACTTTTGTTAATGAATCTAAAATAGTATTTGCCTTTTTATAGCCACATCAACACTGTTGGCTCATATTCAACTTGTATTCTATAAATAAATAGGCAGGCAAGCAAGCAAACTTGGTTCTAGCTTGCTTCAACAGATTAAATGATCAGTAGTCATCTCATTTAAAAAGCAATAGTAAACTCCAGTTGCATAACACCAACAGCAAAGTAATGTCAGATATCTTCTATATATATCTTGAAACCATATATGGTATCACATTTTTCTTACAAATTATTAGAAGTTAAGAAACATTTGCAGCATAACCTACAGGAATACACTGGAGCCATGTGCAGGTTACAACTGATCCAAAAGCTCCCAATAATTAATCATTGGATTATGTACAACTTTATAGATCCACCAGGAATTACTTACCACACAGTAATAATGAACAGTGATATTATAATCCTTGTAAGTCCTCCTTTCCCCATATTTTTCAGGACAGTCATCAGCCCGTTGACAGAATTCACAGGCTAAAATTTTTTAAAAAATGATATTTGAAGTGTTATAACATATCATTTTATGGTTAAATATTTAGCCAGGCAGCATATAACCTCTATTTAAAAAAGAACAGACACACAATAAACAGATCAGGTAACTTTGCCTAGTATGGGGCCTACTCCTATCCCCAGGATCTGTTGTGGGTCACCTCTGCTATAAATGCATTTTCCACAGTTTTTTTAAAGTAGAAATAACCAGAAGACCACCTCCTTTTTAAAGCCTAAAAAAAGCAGATAATATTCCCACAACCCGTTTGCTTTACCAAGGAAATGCACTTCCTGGAATAGGAACAGGCTTCCCATTCAATCTGAACTATAAAACTTTCTCAATGGTTGTAATTGGTATGTGTGTGTATTTGCGTGATACAATCTCTGCTGTTCCCTTCTCCTACTATACCCAATGAGCTATAGAGCTAATACAGCTGCTGTTATTTCCACCTTAAAAACAGCAATGTCTGCCAGCTGCAGGACAAAAAGTTGCTGAATTTGTAGTAAACCACTTTTACATTTTTGTCTAAAAACAGGATGCATTTGCACAGGTAGTGAAAACTCCTGTGTAAATGTAGCAATCATTAACAATCCTTGCGTCAAACAAGGTGGCAAGATTTTTCTTCCTTTGGCAGCATATAAAAATCAGTTTGGACACACAGGCACAAAATTTTAAGGGACTTACCTACACTCTGCTTAAAGTACAGTAGTGCCTCGACTTAGGAACGCCCCTACATATGAACACTTCAACTTACGAACAGCTCTGGTTGTAAAATTTTGCTTCGACTTGCAAATGGAGCTTCGACTTAACGAACAGAAAAAACCCCCACAACACGGGGAAAGCGGGAAATTTGAACTTTCAGTGAAGAGGCTACTTGTCTGCTACCTTGCTCAACCCAGCGGTTAGAGTATGGATACGGAGAGAGACTTTAGACTGCCTGGTACATACTGTACTGCCTGGTACTGTACTGTATTTTTTTGGCTTTTTAATTTTTTTTTAGATTTTTGACTTTCTTTTTTAAAACAGAGAGTGTACCTGTTTTGGGTGGATACACTGTATTTACTGTACAGGGGTTTTGCAACTTGGGTTTGGGCTAGGTGGGGGGGGTTATGTTTCTGTGCTCTGATGGGTCTCACAGACCCTTTGTCCAAGGGTCTGTGCTAACTGGTGTGCTTTAAAATGGAATTTAGTATTTTGGTTTTAAAATCAGAATTTTTTTGCAAGGGTCTGTGCTGGCTGGTGTGCTTTAAAATGGCGTTTAGACTCAAGTAGCCTCCCCCCCATTGTCTTATCTCTCTCTCTATGCTCCCCAGGTGCTTGGTTTGGTTTAAAATGTGTTTGGTTTAAAAGGTGCTTGGTTTGGTTTAAAATGTGTTGGTGTAAAATGTGTGGGTTTAGCATGTGTGGGTTTAAAATGTGTTTTAGACTCCAAACTCTCCCTCTCCCCCATTGTCTTCCCTCTCTGTCTGTTCTCTTTTTGTGATTAAAAGCACAAACCTTTGTCTGAGGGGGTCTGTGTGCCCCAGTGATGACCATCTTTCTTTCCTCTTTTCCCCATTGTTCCCTCCCTCCCTCCTTTCCTGCTCTTTTTTAAACCTAAGTCATCTTAGGTTAACCCCCCCCCCCGTGGTAGATGACGGATTAACTCGTTTTGCATTAGTTCCTATGGGAACGAATGCTTCGACTTACAACCGGCGCCTCTAGATAAGAACGAAAAACAGCCGGAATGGATTAAACGGGTTTCAATGCATTTCAATGGGAAATGCTGATTTGACTTAAGAACATTTCGACTTGCGAACATCTTCTGGGACGGATTAAGTTCATAAATCGAGGCACCACTGTAATGGGTAAAACTAATGATGTTAGTGCTGCTATATGTAAAATAAACTATACTTAATGGAGAATGTCAGTAACACCAAGACAAGCTAAGAATGTAGGATATGAAGATTTAAACATACTTTATTCTGGCCTTTTACAAATATTTTAATGAAGTTGATCAAAACAGTTTCCAAATTGAAAAAAATCTGAAAGCCAACCTTTATAGAATACTAAACATACTGTAACATCACAATAAAACTCTGAAAATTCCAACTCATTTTCTCCTCCAATGACAAATAGTTTTTTTTCATCCTTATAGCAAACTGTGGTGTACAAGATCATGTACTATCATTCACCTCAAATGAGTTTTTAAATGTGGCAGTTTCTGAGTTTTGCATGACAAAGTTAACTCTAGGAGTTCAAAGATATTCCTAGAGAAAAGGCTTCCACTGAAATGCAAATGATGCAGTCATATATACAGGGATGTGTATTCCATTCATTGGACAGGACTTCTAGACAACTTAAATTCCAAATATGTGGATATGGATTATCAGTTTGAACTGTCCATTCCCTCCTCCTGAGCCTGACATACAGGCCTTCTATAGCAATATGAGAGCTCACATGTGTGGTCTTTAGGAGGAACAAGGAGGAACAAGGAACAACTTTAACCGAAACAGGCAGGTTGCTCAAAGTGATGACTTCACTTTCAGTCAGAACAGAAGTGGTGTGCCATATTAAGAAATTTTATCCACCCAAATATATTTCTAAATTGTCTTCCTTGAATAACCATTATAGAAATGTTACATGACAACATGTGAAACAAGGAATATTTTTGTGCATATTCAACTAAAGCATCATACACATTATAAAAATTACTTACCCACGTTCTGAAGAGAGTCAGTAATGTTATCACTCATCCTAGTATTCTCCCAACTGTAGTACAGGAAAAAAATTAGTTGTATGATACTGATATTAGCCTTTGGTCCAGTAAACTACTTAATATCCTATTTTACAGATTAAAAACCAAGTCCAAAAAACAAAACAACAACAAAAACCAAAGAAAAAAACCACATTAACTACATGATATACTTCTACTGTCAAGTCTGCCAATTTTATCCTCAGGTTTTGTTTTGATCACTAATTCACTAGTTTTCCAGTCTTTTTAATGAGTAGAATTCACTGATAACAAAAACTAATAAACTGAAAATTCAGAAAAGTGAATACATTATCTCTTTGGTGGTAGAAAAGTATCCAGAAGACAATAAAACTTCTAGGGCCTTTGTTGTCAGGTAGTCTTTGTTGTCTTTCTGAACTAGTTGCGTGTCCTGCCTTAAGTTTTTATTTAGGTAAGTAAGATAATGGGCAAGCAAAGAAAACAGAGAGAGAGAGAGAGAAAGAGAGAGAGAAAGAGAAAGAGGAGGAGGGATAGGGTAGGGGATAGGAAGGGAGTTAAGTGTCTTGTGTCAATTGAGTAGGCAAGCAAATAAGATAACAGATCACAAAGGCTGTTGCTCAGTGCACTTAGGTCACAAAGACTGTTGCTTTGACTCAATATAATTTCATTAAAATACTCCAGAAAAGTATCTCATATGGGACTGTTTACATAAAGTAAACATTTGTATGATTGCCAAATCAAAGAGTCCATTAGCATCAACATTTATTTTTTTCCTTAAAATATTCTAACCACTTTTCTCCTAAAAAACTGACTCAAGGTGTCTCAAATCATTGAAACACGATGTTAAAAGCTAAAAGCAGTAAATTATTCAAATATAAAAAAGAATTAATATATTAAAAATGTTAAGTAAAAACATTGCTAAAAACAGATTAAGAAGCAACAAAATATAAATCATCCTGTTTATTGTCTCCTAGACCGTCAGTCACTAAGGAAAAGCCTGCCTGAAGAGAAAGGTCTGCAAGTCTGTAAAATCAGAGACTCAGGAAATACGGACCAAGTTGAGTATTAGGACCCACAGAATCAGAATGCAGTTAAGAAAACAGAGAATTCACAAAACATATCTACTGTGAAATTCAAACAACATATTCTTCTCCTAAGCACAACAAATTTTATGTTCCCACTAAGCCAGTGGGCAGGGAAGAGGGGTAAATTACCCCAAATGGGGTAAAAATGAAAATCCTGGGAGTAATGAGGACAGTTGTGGCAGGCACTTTACCCCCAGGCATTTTATTTCCGATGATGCTGTGTGTAGGCAGGCATTCCGTCATAGGGAGAGTGAGCCCCAGTGAGGAACTGCACAGGGCACCCGCCTGCCCTCCTCGCCTCCAAAGTGGGGGGGAGGGCAGTGTACCAGGCCAGTGGGACTCTTTGCCCAGTGGAGCCCTGGCTAAGACTCCAGTGTATGCTGGTGCGGAGGCCACCTTCCCGTCCCGCCTCACCTGAGCTCATGGCGGGTGGACCTGCGGCCCTGGCCTCCCCTCACCAAGGACCTGCTTTCCCAGTGGTGTGGCAGCTCCAGAACTGGCTGCCTGGGCAGCAGCCGCAGGTCCCTGGCGAGCGCAGAGGTGGGGGGCGGCGGCCGTGGATGGCAAGAGCCGGGGGGGTTTTAATGTCAACGTATATAAATTTTTTGGGGGGGAGGGGAAGGTAAAGTTCCCTGACCCTTGCACTAAGCAGAGATCAATACAGTAGATTGATACAGCTTAGTGTAGCCAACTAGGTAAGGAGGAAATAAATTCAATATTTTTTTGGAACTCCATCCTGAATCTGACACAGAATATGGAAGGATTAATATCTCATTTCTAGTGATCCAAGAATAAGTTCCATAATAATAAAAATTTGGAATCCAGAATAAGCCACATGGAAATTCTGGAGCATTTAGAGAAAAATAAGGAAGTGGTAGAATCAAGAGTATTGTTTCTGCAAACAGAAGGGCACGATCCACTTATGAAAACCACTAAGAGCTAGCAGGAACTCCCAGTGGAGGAAGGAGGAGGAGGTTTTGTCAATTCTCTTTTCCCATGCTATTTTAGAGGGATCCCACACCCTCTGGAACAGATTTTCAAGAAGCACAGAATGAGGAATCTGAAAAAGCCACATAACCTCTCATGTTCTGGTAAGCAGAGATCTGCTTACAGGAACTCTTGAATCTAAGCAAATATTTCCAAGAAATTAACTAGTTTATACTTTTTGAAATGGTGTACACCTGAGATCATTATGCTGAGTGATGACATCACTATAAAGCATTAGCCAATTTTTATTTAAAATCCAGCAACTTTTAATGTACTGAGTGACCATGGAAATTTATTTTGCAATCTAGGTTAAGCACAGAAGGAAATGGTGCTTCAGTTGAGGTCTGATTGGGTGCCAACGACTGACCAATCAAATCCTATCCTTTCAGGCAGCCAGATACCAATCCTCTCCCTGCAACAGTTAAAAATACTCATGAAATTTAATTTTTTTGGTCCCAAAATGGTTACGAATAAGCCAATTCCAGTATCCTCCATCTTGTCTGAGGGAGCTACTTATCACCCATTCTTCAGCTAAGTTCTTTCTGAAATCAAAATAGTAGAAAAGTAAAGGTTAAGGTTCCCCTTGACGTTTTTAGTCCAGTCGTGTCCGACTCTAGGGGGCGGTGCTCATCCCGCTTTTCAAGTCGTAGAGCCAGCGCTTGTCTGAAAACAGTTTCTGTTGTCATGTGGCCAGCGTGACTAGGTAGTGCCATTCTATCTTCCCACCGAGATGGTACCTATTTATCTACTCGCATTTGCATGCTTTTGAACTGCTAGGTTGGCGAAGAGGTAGGACAAAGTGACAGGAATTCACTACTGACCCACTACTGACCCTGCAGCACAGAGGCTTCTGTGGTTTAGCCCGCAGCGCCACCATGTCCCACCTATACAAAATAGTATAGGTGATACTATATTTTACTGTATTTTTAATCTCCTATAAGACAGTCTTTGAAGGTGACCAGTGTACGGCCAGATTCTTATAATTGCTAAATATAAGCAAACATTTTGAACTATGTATTTTACTTCTGTCAAAAATGGGGGGAAAGCCATTCTTTCATACCAAAGAATTAAAAGACAATATGTCCTACACTGTGCCAAATATTTCTCTTTTAATGATTTCAGATGACATTTTACATAATCTTTACCTCTTTTGGTGCTTGTTATAAAATACCCTTTTCTAAACAGTGTCCACTGGCATTCAAGTTCCACAAACTGTAAATACTTCAACAGTAATTTCATCTGTACAGGTAGAATTTCCTGGAAGGATTGTTTTGTTTTAATGCATTCGGTAACAGCATCTAGAAGTAAACAAAGCAGGAGTTACAGTCTTAATCACCTTAAATGATTTCTCTGATAGAAAAGAAAGATGTTTACATTACAATCTTGTGCACATGTCTTTAAAAGTAAGTCTTTTGGAGACTGTATTTTCTAGTGCTGGGAGCCAGGCCTTAATAAGTTTTAGACTTTCCTCTTTTTTGTTGAAGCTCTGTTGGTGTTTATAGATTTCAATGGCTTCCCTGTGCAGTCTAACATAATGGTTGCTGGTGTTGTCCAATACTTCATATTTTGAAATAGAATTTCATGTCCAGCTTGTTTTAGGGCATGTTCAGCTACTGCTGATTTTTCCAGTTTTTTTAGTCTGCAGTGTCTCTCATGTTCTTTGATTCTGGTGTGAATGCTGTGTTTTGTGGTTCCAATATATTCCTGGCCACAACTGCAAGGTATCCGCTATACTCCTGCAGTGGTTGGGGTCCCTTTTGTCCCTTGCTGACCGTAACATTTGTTGTATTTTTGTGGTGGGTCTGAATACTGTTTGTAGGTTGTGTTTCTTCAAAGTTTCCCCATGCGGTCCGTGACCCCTTTGATGTATGGCAGAAATACTTTATTTGTGGGTGGCTGTTTTTCCTCTTCAGTTTGGTGTTTTCTTGGTTTGATGGCTCCTTTGATTTCATTCTTGGAATAGCCATTCGCCTGTAGGGCCCAATTCAGATGGTTAAGTTCGGTGCTGAGAAATTGAGCTTCACAATTCCGATTTGCATGGTCTACCAGAGTTTTGATTATGCCTCTTTTTTGGCATAATCTACCCAGCCCCGATTGCACAAAATTTTGTGCAATTTTAATCATTACACAAAAAAGACCAGCTAAAGAAACCATCAGTCAAAGTGACAGATAATTTTCTCCCTCTTATCACAATAATACATCCACAACAAAAACATGCTGATCACCATCATCACCCTATCTCCTGAAAAGGACAAAAGCTGTTCCCACAGCTATAAATACTCAAATATCCAACAAACAGCAACAGAGCATGGACTGAGTTCCTAACCCAGCCCTCTGAAGATGCCGGCCACAGAGACTGGTGAAACATTAGGAAGAACAGCCTTCAGAACACGGCCAAAGAGCCCAAAAAACCCACAACAAACATAGTTCAGCTTTAGCTTATGACTGATGCATTTCATAGATGAAGAATAATTAATTAATATTAATTAAAAGGCAGACATAAAATACATATGGAAGCCACCAGTTATGAACTCCCACAGTATCCTTCACAACATGTACAAATGTTTGCTATAAATTTTGATCTGAGTTATAGTGATCCTAATCGGGTTTTCAAAATTAAATGCTTAAGTAGTTTTACCAGTGCCCCCATGAGTTTTCACGGCCAAGCTGAGATTCAAACCAGAGTGAATTTGATTTAAATGTTTCAAAACCTGATTTTTTGACCATTTAAATTTTTAAAAAATTACATTTAAATCAACTTGATTTAAATCATGATTCAAACCCATGCTATTTTATTCACTATACCACATTGGGTAGAAGTTCCTTCTTAGACAGGATCAACTTTCTATTTCTGCCAGGTAACTTTTGCCTTGAGAATTTGTGTGACAATCATAAATCTAATGATGAGATAAACCACATCCTTTGTCCAATTTCCCCCCCTTACAGTGGGGAGGTAAATGCTCGCAAGCAGGATGTGAAGGCAAGGTCTCCTCTAGGTAAATACTTTCTTGCATAAAACAGTGACAGAAAATATCTTGTGTTTGATGAATTCTTGCATATTGTGATGTTAGAATATGAACTTGCCCACTCTTAAGTTCTCTATCACAGGTGCTTGAAGAAACAGCAGAAGGTGCTACAATTACAATGTAGAAAAGAACAACATAAAGTAGCTGGAATCCCAGGAAAGTACAATGGTGCCTCGCATTGTGACGTTAATTTGTTCCGCAAAAATTGCTGTTGAATGAAAATGTCGCTATGCGATATTAAAAAGCCCATAGAAACGCATTAAAACCTGGTTAATGCGTTCCTAGGGGCTTAAAACTCACCGTTCAGCGAAGATCCTCCATAGGTGCCTTTTAAGTGAGGAATCCGTCCCAGAAAACAGCGGGCAGCCGTTTTGAAACCACCAATCAGCTGTGTGAAAATGGTTGCTTTGCAATGCTCGGTTCCCGAAGCAAGGAACCGATCATCGCAAAGTGAAATTCCCCCATAGGGAACATCGCAAAGTTCATCGCAAAGCGATTTTGTTGCTAAACGGAGCGCTCGCTAAAGATTAGTCTCTGGTTACATGGAGAACTGAACAACTTGGAAGTAACTTAAAAATGTTATTGAATGGAGTTGGCAGAACCAGGATAGACCTGAGAAAATGAGGGTTGTAAACAGAGACAAATTGTGTTAGACACAGAAAGTAGGTGCTTGTCTCTCTCTAAGAGTACTACAGAAATTCCATAGATCTCCAGGGAAAATCAGAAACCTGTGTTCATCACAGCTGACATTTATACTCTCATGTATGTTTACACAGCTCAACTCAGTTTAATAGCATGTATATCCAAGTGAAAAAACAAAACAGTAATTTAAGACATGCATATGACATTGTATTACTGGCAAAAAATAGTACTGAATTGAATTGACTACTGAAGGTTAAAAAGAAAGTGCAAAAGAAAGAAGATTGTAGTTGAAGATTAGGAGGACAAAAGTTAAGAGAATTAAATCACTTTAATGTTGACTATTTCTTATACCTTTGTTCAATTAGTAATCCAAATTGTGCCTGTTGTTAAGAAATAAAAAAACTAACACTTGGAAGTGCAGCTAACAAGGAAACAGTAAACATCCTTAAATATAAAAATGTGCAACTGGAGACTAAAGCCAAAATCATCCATACTATCGTTGTCGTTTAGTCATGTCCGACTCTTCGTGACCCCATGGACCAGAGCATGCCAGGCCCTCCTGTTTTCCACTGTCTCCTGGAGTAGCGTGAAATTCATATTGGTAGCTTCGATGACACTGTCCAACCATCTCATCCTCTGTCGTCCCCTTCTCTTGCCTTCACACTTTCCTA